ATGAATGATATATGAGTGTCAAATGTGTAGATACTCCAAAAAATGTGGGTCACCCATTAGCCTCAAGAAGTAAGGAGACAAAGGAAGTCTCACATGCACTGGCAGCACCCCCAAGACCAACTAATCCCCTGGCCAACAGCCTCTTCGGGCCCACGAGAAGGCCTGAGAGCCCTGAGCAAAGACGTGCTGGCCTGCACGCTCCCCTAGGTCTATCTGCCCTGGGGAGATGATTATCCCAAACACAAATGATATTTTGGTCTACAAATGAACTGAAGAAAAACATTAATCTATTTTGGTGTCAGGTAAAACTTGATGGGTCCTGTACAGACTGTTAATTTAATGGAGGATAAGCAACAGGGGAAGCAGATAAATCATTAGCAGAGTGAAGAGCCGATCCGATGAATTTCCACCATGTCTTGTATTTGCCTTTTCTTCCAGAGAGCAAAATGACAAAGTGTTTATGCCCCCCTGTCTTTGACATCTCTGTTTATCTCATTAGAGGGAAAGGGCTTCTGAAACCGCAAGGACCTGTTTCATTTCAAGATTCAAAGATCCAATCCCTAATGATTTATACGAGTTAACATTCTGCATATAGAATTACAGTCTTGATGTTTCTAAAGTCCTTTCATTTTTAACTTCACAAAAACAAGGCACTACAATAATTTCCTTTTTGTTTACTGCATTTCATACATAATATCAGAATTCAATGCATGAGCACAAAGTACATGTATCTCAAAAATAATAATAATTATTTTCATGAAGATGTTTAATTAGAATGGAGGCTAATACAAGAGCCGGAATTTCCTATATAGTGTCAATGAATCAGATTCCCTTTGGTGTTTCTGGAATTCTCTATCAGCTCTTCACGGTCTAATCAAAGGTCATTGATGAAAGAGTCCTCAATCACTGGGAGAAGCACTACATGTTCATCTGAGCTTCTTTCCATGTGTCCTGCTTCCTTATGGCCTCTGAAACATGCACTGGGAACAACACGGTCTGGAGCCCCCAAAGGGTACAGCACACCATGACTTCACACTGTGATTTTTGTCATTTCCTCACCACTGCTATTAGCCTTCCTGAAGTATTCTACTGCCCTAGTGAGCTAATCTTCCAGTGGCCTATGAAGGGTAGTTACTGTATAATCCACCAGGAAAAACAAACTCCAGCACTTGAAATAACTGTGAAGACAGGGATTATATGCACTGTCTTCTACACCCAGACACCTTCCACTCCAGTATCTATTCACAGTGAATAAAGGGATGAATGTAGGAATCAGTTTATCTTTAAATCACTTCCTGTCATTTCCTGGGGTCTTTATATATAAACTATGCTTCACTCCCTCACCTTAAAAGGTTCCTGTGATTTTTAAATAGAAAGACTTCCTCCAACACCCAACCTCCACCCTAATGGCACAAAAAAATGCCAAAGCTATTACAAGGCTCCTTGGACTTCTCCAGCCTTTCTGTAGAATTGGGGTTGGCTGTATTTGCATATGTCTCAGAACCAGCCCTTATTTTGACCAGAAAAGCTCCTATAGCATCAAAAAGTGGCCACTGTCACAGGAAAGATATATATGGAAGAATAATTCAGATTGAACTAGCCTACTAAAATGTACACACACACACAAAAACCACATATAACTTCCAAATCTTCCTACTGGTACCTTGCACACAATGGGCTTTCAATGGATATTTACTGAATTTGATATTAAATTACTTAGACAGTGTGAACCCAACATCTTTCAAACATTTGGTTCTCATGCTGTCTATCCCCCACACAAAACATGAAAATGTGGATTGGTTAATAGAAAGCTACTAGGAGACCTTGCTGGAAAAAGAACTGTTTTCAAGTTGCACTGGTAAATTAGTCTGGTAAAGCAATATAGGCTTCTCATTTCTTCCTAGTTTTATCAATAACTTTGCCTCATTCTTCTGGAAGATCCTGGCTGGAGATCTAACCTAAGCCCTTCCAAAGCTGGTGCTGGAGACAAGTGAGCAAAAATCACTATCTGAAGAAGAAAAGGAGAATGACATCTCCAAACTACTAAGCGAGATCAATGCTACGTTGGCTCGTATGATTTATTTTAAGCAGATTCATATTTTAAAGTTCGCAATATAAAAACTACACTGTGTGTTCTCACTGCCCACACTGTGTGTTCTCATGTCCTCTACACATCTCAGAAATACTTGCCCACTAATAGGAAATCCAAACCATTTCACCTGTGAAAATGCTATATATATTCTCAACTCTACAATTTCCTCTCTGCAATATTCACTCACCTCCTTGCTTTATCTTCTAGGACTACATGGAAAACAACCTACTTCTTTTTTCCTTCCAAAAGCTTGCTAAGCATACAAGGCAGTCCCTACACCCTATTCTTCCACAACTTTTCATTCCCATTTGACTCAAGCTTTTTGGCTTCCTATAATTAAATTTTCTAAATGATGCTAACACATCAAAGGAGAAAGAACAGAACTTGGGATACAAGTAACTCAAAGTTTTAAATCAGTTGTAATGTCAACTTTTAGTTTCACACAGCTCATTTCAGAAATTCATACTACAGCCAATAAATTCAGGTGCCAAAAGAGAGGTGATAATGTTTACCTAACACAGTGCCAAAATCAACTGTTAGAGATTTAAAAAAAAATGTTGGTGACATTTTCCTTTCTCAAATTATGTGTAGAATCAGAATTTTAAAATTGTTCATGTCATCTGTTCATTTCATAGATGTTGAAACTGAGAGCCAAAAGAATTATGTAACCAGTGCAGGGAAGGTTAGAAGTAGTGTTGAATGTATTGAAGGTCACTTTTGACCACTTCCCAAACAACAAACCATGAGCTTGCTGTGGCACCAGTATCATCCTTCCCCAAACTCATTTTTAATAGTGTCTGTTTGTGAACTTTCCAGGAAGCTACACTTGTCAATTTTAGAACTAGAAAATCTTCTGAATAACCTCAGCCTTCCTAATACTACAGGGGAAAAAAGTAGGACCAAGGAAGTCACGACACCTGTTGCAGAATCCCTATGCTATCCAAGCACAGAGCCAGCAAAGGGGCCCATACCTTCTGATTACAACAGAACTCTACACAAAAGATCAGCTGAGCATCAGCAACTGTATAAATCCGATGTCATTTTCATCTAAAAGATGCACATATCACCAGAGCAAGCTAGCTCTTTTGACTGATATGTGAATTTTGTGCTCTATAGAAAGACTGCACAAGGGAGTTTGGGTATTGGGTGAAATGCTGGATTCAACAACTTCTTGACTTCTGCCACCTCCAAAATTATTTGATTCCTGGACTACCCAGGAGCAGGACTATGCTAGCCAGGACACGTCCACAGCACCCTGTGGGGTACCTTCCCCTGCAGCAGGATGTACTCTGCCCTGCTACCCCAGACATCACTCTACACCCAATTCAAATGCAACTACTCTGAGGGTAGAAAAGGCACAAAAAAAAACACAGTTTTGTCATGTCCTGAGATGGACCACACCATTTGGCTTTCAGAATTGCCTTGCCTAAGTGACATTCTGTAACAAGCACCCAGATCCCATTTTTACATTTTGTTCATATGCAATGCTACTATCAGAATTAATTATGCAACATCTTCAGGAAGCAGAATCAGATTTTTGGATGCAAGTTAGGGCAGGAGAGAAGGTGTACTTCCCAAAGGAAGTGGAGTGTACCAATTCCCAAAAAGTGCTGGAGTGCTTCCTGCACCAACAGATTTCAGATGGCAACCTCCAGCTGAGCTAGCCACAGGGAGGAAGCTGACATGTTTGAGAAATGAAGAAGATGCCAACTAACAAGATTCTGAAGGCCAACAAATTATTAACCCCTTTCTTTCTACATAACTCCATTCCAAGCTGTAATTCAACACAAATCTGTTCATTTGCTTTCCTAAAGGATTAGTAAGTATGAAAACACACTAATTTTGGACTTTACCTTTTTTGGGTAAAAGGGAAAAATAAAGGTCGTTGGTTGTTGTTGTTGTTGCTGTTGTGTGTGTGTGTGTGTGTGTGTGTGTGTGTGTGTGTGTGTGTGTTTTCTCATTTCAGGGAGGAGAAAATTCTATTAAGGGTCTAGTTCTGAAAGTTCAAGAAAGCCACACTGACATAACAGGATTGTCACACTGAATACCATTACATGCATTGGGTTACACAAAAAGCCAAACTCTCTAATGACAAGTAGAAACGCCAGGTATCACACAGATTTCAGACAAGCAGACTGACGCTCTAAAACTCAGTGCCAAATAACTAAAGAAAAATAAAACTACAGAGTCACAGATGTGTAGGTTTCTACTGTAACAGGCTGGGGGCATTTTTCCCTGGTGAGTCTCCCCACTGGGGTGCCCAGGCAAGGAGGAGTGGGACAGGGTTCCCAGTCATCAAGAAGATTAGGAAAAGTACATGTCCTGTCTGCCTGCAGCTGCCTCCACCAAGGAAAGGATTCTTGGCGTCTGAAGTCTAACCCACACCAACTCTGGGCCTCCTTAGCTCCTTAATCAATTGAGCTGAGATGACCACATTGGCTCCACCTGGTACCTAGGATGTTAGCACAGTGCAAGCGAAAGCCCTGGTCTCCCCTTCTAAGATTTTCTTTACTTCCGAGGGGTGCTCCTTTCTAAAAGGAAAGCACAACTTGAGAGAAGGCGCCCGACTGGAAAGGTTGAGCCTGTTTGGCGGGTACCTTCCGAGGTGGGCAGGTGCAAAAAGCCTAGAAGGAGAGAAGAGCAGCAGAGGGAAGCAACGGCAGCAAAGAGCAGGCAGAAGCAAAAAAAGGGCACGGTCTTGGCAAGAAAGCAGGGGAGAGAGAATTAAGGGATGGGAAAGGGGACAGGGAGAGAGCTGAAGAAGGGTGAGAAGGATGCGGTGGGCAGCAGAGCGCGGGGCCGCGGAGGGGAGGTGGCCACTGGCACCGGCGCACCCCTGGGGAACCGCAAGCTGCGCTCGCAGGGTGGGCGCCAAGGCGCAGCGCGCAAGGGCGCACCGGTCGCTCACCTTTCAGGATGAGGGTGTCGATGTCCCGGTCGATGCCCAGGAAGTAACACTTCCTCCAGAGGCCCGAGTAGGTGGCAAAGAGTGGCCGGCCGCACTCAGCGTCCAGACCGCCGAGTCCCAGCAGCGAGCGCCAGGACTCGGGGTCGTTGCGCCCTGGTCCGCCCGGGAGCAGCCGGCGCCCCAGGGGCGGCGAGTCCCGCAGCGGTAGGTGAGATAGCGGCATCAGGCGGTTCTTCTGGTCAGGAGGGTCGGCGCCCGCGCGGCTGCGCTCGCAGCTCTCCTTGTGGCGCCGAGGGTCGGTCTCGTACCAGTGATCGGTGAAGATGGCCGTGACGAGCAACCCCAGGGAGCAGAGGCTGAGGCCGAGGCTGAGCGCCGTGACGAGCGCCCGTGGCTCCATGGCTTCCCGCCCCGCCGCGGCCGCGGTGGGCTCGCGCGCCGCCGCCAGACACAATGCTCTTAGCCGCGGCGCTCCGCCGCGCTCCCTCCCTCTCTGCCTCCCGCACCTGCCCCCCGCTCCCTCGCGCGGCCTCCACGCCCCCGGCGCGGGACTGGCTCAATGCCTCGCCCCCGGCTTGACTCCACTCCCAGCCTTCTCCCTGCTCCCCAGGCCCCGCACCACTCTCACTTTCTCGCTTTCCTCCTCCTCCGTCTGCTCCTCGCCAGCCCCCTCCTCCCTCTCGGCTCCCCCAAGTCGCGTGGCTCCCCTCGAGGCTCTGCCCACCTCGGGCTCTAGAGGTCCGTCCTTCTCTGCACGGAGCCCCCTTCCCTTGACAATCCCCTCCTCGCAGCCTCACTCAGCGCTCTCTCCCTTCGTCCCGGTCCCTACTTTCCCCTTACTTTTCTCAACTCTTCCTCTTGGTCTTTCCCCCTCTCGCTCTGGGCCGCGCTTCCCGGCTCCAGGTGCCTTTATACCCCCGCCATGGACTCCAGGTATCTCTCCTCCCACCCCTGAGCACAGCACCGCACGCGTCCTCTCCCACGCCGACGACCTTAAAAAACATCCACTGGCTCACACTGGGTTTCTCATTGCCCACGATGGTTTCCATCAGCGTCCCATGCAGCCCGCAGTAGCAAATCCATCCAGGTTGGACTGCGAGGTGATAAGAACCGCTGGGAAATCTCGCCAGAAAAGCTGCTAGGACCCCTGCACCGCTGGCTCTCGCCTCTCTCCCTCGCCCAGAGAACCTCCTGGCATTCTCTTCTCCCCAAACCCCTTTTTCTCAAAGAAGACTCCTAGTGCTACTGGAGCTAAAGAGCACTGGTTGCAGATGTTTCTCGGGCTTCATTCCAGTCTGCTCTGAGCCGGACTTCTTTTCTGTTGACCACCTCCATCTCCTGATGGAGAATCAGCCTCCTGGAATTTCTGTAAGCATGTCGGATCAATAAGCCCTTGCAATAGCACCTGCTCTGTGAGCTGGCCATTGCCTTTGACTAAAGCAAGCGCCAGTAATAAATCAGAGCAATTATTTTCCTCCTGGGCAAGTTTCTCTCTGGGCTGGGAGGGTCAAAGCAGGCTGCACACCCAAGCCAAGGACTAAGCTCAGTGCAGTGTGTCTGTGGTGTTTGCGGATGCTAATTCCAAAAACTACAGGAGATCAGAAAATATTGGGACCCAGAGTACTCAAGAGTTAATTGCATATGCTGTTTTAGTCTCTACCAGGGCTAATACCCTTGTGCCACCTCATGCCATGGGGCCATGTCAGAGGCAGAGACGTTACTGCGGGGAGCCCAGGGAAGCCAGCTCCTGGGCTCTTACGCTATGAAATATTAATGATCAAGAGATTAGGAGTTATTCATTAGATGCTAAATGTCATTACCCCATGATTTAATGGGACTTATTAATTAGTGCCCCACATCAATTGGCATTAATGTGATTTATATAGTTTCCTCTGGAATGACATCTGTAAAGCTGCTATAAGACTCTTGCTGGGATTTATTTTTGCTGCTGTTTGTACTCTCAGCATCTTCAGAGGCTGTTTTTCGGCTGAAGATGGTGTGTTTCCTCCGAGCTGTTCCATTCACAGATAGATCACTTAAGCAAATCTTTCCATCATAGCAGACCCCCTGTGACCATTTCTGCTGACCTGACAATGTGAATTATTGCTTGGATTTTCTCACAGCTTCAGCAAGATCTATGGTGAGCTCTAGTCTAATTAAGGAAGACAAAGAATTATAATGCCAGTGTTCTTCTCACCTATAAGCATTTCCTTAACAAGAAACATGAAGCTCATCAAAGAAGTCTTATCTGGATTTGCACACAAATGATGAGACTTCAAAGCCTTCCTGTATTTGGACACCATAATATGTGTAAAATCCTAGATCTTATGTTCAGAATATCTTTAACTGCGAGTCCACAGTTGACATCTGAAATTCATCCAGTTGTCATGTGTCCTTTTATAAGAAATAACTCTTAAGAGAAAAAAATTATCAGAAACCTACAAAGGCTGTATCCCCCTCTTTTCACATAGTGTACCCCAAGAAATGTGTTCAATCACATTTCAGAGTCACCTCATCATCAATCAATGTCACACAAAGCTCTGTCCTCAGCTGGGGCTGGATAAACACTTGTCAGGCACTGCTGTTTAGTTTGAAAAAAAACCATATGGTTCTGCCTCATTTTCCTGGCCAGAACTCCTTGATCATGCCCTTCTTAGAAAACAGTATTATCCCCGAAATTCCTGTACCATCTCTGTTTAAGACCATTCTCAGTGTATAATCCAAAGGCTACCTACATGATGGATTGCCTTTGACAGTATTTCATAAAAAAAACGCCACACATTACAAATATGGGCCAGCAGTGTGTAATGAGAGCATTGCCTCTGCTGGTGCAGCATTCAGTGTGCTGGCAAGGATATGACATATGATGTACACACAGGCTTTGCTGCAGCCACTGTCCATGTGATTTGAAATATTCATTTATTTGAATGAGTTATAGAAAGAGAGGTAGAGACAGGGAGAGAGAGAGACAAAGGGAGTGCAAAAGAGAGGTAGAGGTTTTCTACCCATTGGTTTACCTCCACCTACAATATGGCTGCAATGATGAGGAATGGGTCAGGTGGAAGCCAGGAGCCAAGGACTTCATGTGGTCTCCCATGGGAGTGGCAGGGGCAGCAGCTTTTAGGCCACCTGCTGCTGCTTCTCCTAGACTCATCAATAGGAAGCTGGACCATGAACTAGAGCCCTTGCTGGATGCTGGTGTCATGGAAACATGTTGCTTTACCTGCTGCAACAGAATGCCAGCCCTCTAACCATGTTTGAAAATTTTATCTTTTTTGCTAGCTCCAGCACTGCAGCATCACAGTCTCCCTGCTCTATCAGTGAGGCATATAAAGATTAACAAATGATTCCCACCTTCAGGTGGCTCCCAACCATGTAACAAGAAACAGATCCATAGCACAAGAGGGAAGTACTAAAGCAGAAATGAGAACAATGTGCCAAGGGAATCTCCACAGTGGAAAGCCTAACTGTCTGAGGAAGCCAGGCTGGCCACACCAAGACAGTCACTTTTAAGTCAGTACTCAAAGGATGAGTTAAACTTTGCCAAGGGAATAATATAGAGGTAATGGCACTGTAATCAGATTATACCTCCTTAATTTTTACTTATATATCTACCTTGTACATTTGGAGACTCACTATTGGGACCACTACAAAATAAGATTTTTCCTACATTTTAAAATCATAATGTTGACATCTTCTAACAAGCTAGATACCTGCAGATGACTAGACATAAAACCTAAGCCAGAACACAGTATAAAAGGGCACCCGGCCTGGCATATGGTGAAGATGAGGGGCAACCCAAGCACCAGCCAGAACACCGGGACAAACTCAACTTAGACTATACTATGACCTCCACATTTTCAGAATTTGCTCTTCTCCCCTTCAACATTTGTCCTCTTCCTGTCGACAACCCCCACTGCTTCCCACAGAGAACAGCAGTGTCCTGAAATGACAGGGATAAGGGCCAGAGACTGTCCTCTTGGACTAGCTCACTGTTTCAGAGGACTCAACTTGTCCTGGTTACAATACAGTTGCCATTCCAGCTTCTCTTTCTCTTGCTGACAAGTCATTTAAGACTCAGTTTTGGTTTTTTTGAGTTATCTACTGCACAAAGTTGTAGAGATTTTTTTTCCCTTGAAATGTCTTTTATATCCCCTCTTCCTCCACATTTCTATCACTTGCTAATGCTGTGCTTCTGTCGCTTCATATATTTTTACAGCTTGATTCCAGGATCAACCCTTCCTGTAGTTATCCTGGATACTGTTACCAAATTCATCTTCCTCAAAAGTTTCTTTGATTGAGTCATCCTTCAGTTTCCAATTCTCCTTTCTAGCTACAAGGAATTTTCCAGCACATTACCCTCCACCCCCCGCAGCCCTTCTTTGTTGCTGTCATTATTTCCCTAGCATTCAGACATCACAACTGATGTCTTGGGCATGTTTAAATATTTAGAAAACAAAATGACTCTGCCTTCTACAAACACAATGTCTAGGTGCTTATCAAAATGTCTAGGTGCTTTGTGACATTAACTAGATTTCTCTTTATAATCAAGAAGTTCTTTAAATAAATATCTCCTTATGAAAAGGTCCATACACTCACACACAGGGATCTCCAGTGATCACAGAGCTATGGTGATGATTTATTGACATAACTATGTTAAGCTAGCCATGAATATTCTAAAAATCTTTAATCCTTTTTCCAGTGCCAGGACTAAAAACAAACTCTTCCTCATTAAAAACACTTGGATTCTACCATGAAAACGATGCAGTTTAGCCAGAACCACTTTCACAAAAAGTTTTTTTCCTTGCCAATATCAGATTTTGTTCAATGTTTAAAGAGATAGTCAATTAAACGGCCGATCTACATCTGTCCTCTTTGCAATATTTGAGGTGTCTTAAGGCCATCACTCCAAATTATTCTCCTAAAAACACTATTTGAATTCATTAAATCTAATGGCACCTCTCATGTGTTTATCATATTGTGACCCACTGGTTTATGCAAAGGCCTTTCCCCACTCAGAACTCTAGGTGAATGGAGGAAGAAGATGGAAATGGAAAGAGGCTGAGTGTAGAGAGGGTCGCCTTGGATGGGTATTGTTTCAGACACACACAAAAAGGAAAAGCCTAGTACAGGGAGATTAATTTCCATTGGGGAGATTATGAATAAGCCAAGTGGAAGAGATGCTGTTTCATCTGGCCGTGGAAGGAGAAGGACTATTTTGTATATGTATGTCAGCTCAATCCAGGACAAAGCCAAAAGTAAATTTTAGAAGCAACACCTACATCATGTGCTCTTCTATACCCCACACGTGTAGTAAGTCACCCTAGCAGTGCAATTTTCTCACTGGCTGGTTGACTAGAACTACGAAATTCCACAGCATTCCCAAAATAGATGGTTCCT